CGCCCCCTCCCCGGTAACTCGCCCCTCACGCGTGGGGACCCGCGGCGCCAACCCGAGGAGAGCTGCGGGCTGCTGTGAGCTCCCTGTGCCGGGCCGGGGGAGGGAGGGCCCCGAAAGCAATGTGGGTGGAGGCAAGAAAAAAAACAACCCCACGGGTTTCTTACAGGTTTTTATTGCCTTCAGGACAGGTAGGGAGGATGTCTCCAAGAGGGAAGCGAAGTGCTGTGGCCGGCGTCGGGTGACAAAGGTGACGGGGTGCGGCCATGGAGGGAGAGGCGCCGCTTGGCTGCGGGGGCCAGCGGTGGGAAGGCAGCAGAGCTCGAGCCACCGCCGTGACAGGCCATAAACTGAAAGGAAGGAGGAAAAAGAATGAAGAGTGTAGAAAACAACAACTGTAGGAGACCCCACCTAACGCAGGCAATCGGGGACTTGACTATAAAAAGCAGTACTCTGTGGAGAAGCTGCTGGGATGGCACACGGTAATCACTCGCAGGCTGGGAAGCAGAGTGTAAGCAGAAGGAATCGAGGGTTTGGGGTTTTTTCTTCTTCTTTTTTTTTATTTTTAAATAGCTTTAAACCTTACCCATTCCTAAGGGAAGTAATCTGCAGGAAATGAATGAGCATCAGGAGGCACGGTTTTAAGCTGCGCAGTACACGCAAACAAGTGGGTTGTTAAAAAAAAAAACCCACCCTTGTGCAATATAACAAAGTATTTCATACAAATTCCACATCTTACCCCTCCTTATATAACAGGAATAGCTGGCAGGATCATGGCAAATTAGGTCAAGCTGTACCCAGATGAGGGATTAGATGAGGAGTCGTTTAGAAATAGCTGAAGACACTGACAGGGCTGGAATGGAAATAATGTTGGGTTACTCTGAAGAGCAGGGAAGGAGAGAGACGTCTCCAATAACACATAACTGCGTCCCTCACCAACAAGGCTCGGAGGGAGAGTTAAGCAAACACGCTACTGATGAACAACCTGCAGGTTTTCACAGCTGTAATAGAGCTCTAGTGCCGATTTTCTTTGCTGGCAAGGAATGAAACATAGAGAAAGTAAGCATCACAACACTTGATGGTTTTTTCGAGTGAGTTAGCTGTACTGGTGAATTAAAGCCAAGTGGCATAAAACAGACACTTTTTTACCTTTGAAAACTGTTGGTATACGATAAACAACAGCGTAACGGTACTAAGTAATATAAATAGCAGGTAGTTGCAGACCTGAAGCAGAACCAACCAGCCCTGCTCCGAAACAGAAAGAAGGGTTTCTCTGAAAACGGGAAGGAGCAGGAATAGCAACATAAATAGGGCTGAGATAATTCAAAACAAAGAGGAAGCCAGGAAAGTCCTATTCTTAGAAAGGGTGAGAAACAGTCTGCTTTCACAGTTAGGATTGCCTTATCTTTTCAGTTTTCTTTAAATGACAATGCAGTGAGTATTTGTCATTGGGCTGTGACTAATCACAAAATCCACCACTCAACTGCATCAAAACAAACATGTCTTCAGACCAGTAACACTGTAACATGAGAAATTGAATTTATATTTCCCTCCAAAGCAACGGATGAGACTAGTAAATGCTTGTGAATTTGGGGAATGCACAGATTTCCGAAACAAAAAAAAATCCCCAATAAATACCAGCTACTTAGTGTTACCTAATAACGTGAATAATTGTAAACTCTCCCAGAGACCTCTGAAAGAATCATCCTATTTGGTGGAAGATAATATGGTAGAATGACAGATTTTCTCAACATTTGAGGGCAAGAGCTTGATAAATAGTGTGAGCTAATTATGTCTTTTTCCTAAGCCCTGGAATTATGGTGAGTCAGTCTCTGGCAACATCCCCATTGGTTCCACTGCTTTGCTGTGTTCCTTACTTCTCCTAATGGTAAACCTAAAGGTAGTCTTTATCCTGCATGTTGTAGCAAATAATAAAATCCCAAGTACAGAGAAGTAAAAATAACCAAGATTTTAGTGCACAATACCTGCAAAATGCGAGGGCACAGTGAAGTAAACGGCTCGACATACTTTTGTTAACACATTCATCTTTTGTTTCAGCTTGTAAATCTGTCTTCCAGCTCATCTGTCGGATTTGTTTCAAGCGATCAAACCAAACGTGCTCTTTTCTTAAAAAGAAAACAACAGCATATCTCAGACTTACTGCTGCAAAAGAATTCCAGTAAATGCTGCCCGGAAAACCCATTTGGCTGCCTCAGCTATCCAAGAATATTTTTAATGGGGAAAAGAAGATCGTTTTATAAGAATATTCATTTTTTTAATGTGAAATTCCATCTGGTTGCCAAACCTATCTGGAGAGAGAAGGCGCTCTCAAGAGTAGATAGTCTGACTGAGACACAGGAGCTGACAATCCTAAGATTCAGGTTCTCTTTCCAGCTCCCCATCAAAGCCATCCTGGGTCATTTTGGTAGCCGTTATTATGTGGCTGCCTACAGGTAAAATGAGAATACGTATCCATTTTAAAAATTTCTGCCTAATTATTGTAATACTGCATCTTTAAAAAAAATTAGATTCAAGTGGAACTTGTGCAAAATACCATAATCACCTTTTCTCTTCTACTGCTGCACTTCAGTTAAAGGTCTTTGCTGCTCCCCGTGAAGGTCAGGTACATTATGCTTCGTGAAGATACACACCTCTGTTTGCCCTTGTTACGCTTTTCTTTCACTACTAATTACTACTGTAAATCTGTTTAACCTCTGTTGAAATAACGCCTTGTTATTATTGTTCTGACATCTTTGCTTCTCCTGCCTGATCTGTTCAAACTTCTTAAGCAGGAGAAGGTTTCTCAAACACAAGCAATCTGAGGATTGCCAGAAACAAGAGGAGATTTAGCAACTGGGCGTTGCTAAACTTACACATTAGAGAGAAAATAAAAACTCATTAGTACACATGTAGCTGGTATACTTTATGGAAAGAAAGTAAAAACTAAAACAAGTAGGGAAACGAACCTTTTCTTACCTCATGTCCTTGCATGCAAATGTTTCAAGTTTTTCCCAACTTTCAGATATATGCTAATAGAAAAATACTAAATCCAACAGTTCTTCCTATCAGTTGCAAGAGGTGGGGGGAGAGTCTGAATTCTCTTACAGCCCTGTTCTTTTTTTAACAGTTTTAACAGTGTTTGATCCCATAATCTTAATTTTTTTTTTTTAACCTCCTAAGCTTGAAATTACATATATCATTTTGAGAAAAACTGTAAAAGATTAGAAGGCAGAACAGCATGAAGCCTGCCAAGAGGGTGCTTTATTTTTGATTGCTCTTGCAAGCATGATGCCTAATCTCTTATTAAAAAAAAAGTCCCGATTCAGTACAATCGTAATGACTGCGTCCTCAACAGCGTAAACTTTCATTCAAGGCATTGGAAGACACTTTGGCACTTATTTTACGTCAACAAAGCAAAAATGAGGGGATAATAGTAAAGTTAGAAATAAAAGACTTATTAGGGTTTCTTGTTGAAAGAAACTTCACCTTTAAGTACCGGATAGTCCCATGTTATATAGTTAATC